TCTGATTCATTTTGTTAATTTTTTCATGAAATCTTTTGAAGTTGTATATTTACTGACCAGCCGCTTTTTAGAAAATCCATATATGTACTGGGTGTTCCATAAAATTGATCCATATCTGAAACGGTCAATTTTTATCCTTTTCACTTTTAACTTTGTCTTTATTTACTAAAGTCTTTTAATGAAAAATTGTATACTTATTAACCAGTTGTCTTTTTGAATTTTTATACTGAGTATTCTACAATTCTGATGCAGATTAAAATTACGAATAGAATGTTTTTTCCTTTTCTATATTTTGTACTGAAGTCTGCAATATTTTTATGAAAAACCCGACTAACCAGGTGTTTTTTGCAATTCATGTACAGGATGTTTCATAGAACTGACACAGGTTTGTTCCTTTTCACTTTTAACTTTGTCTTTATTTACTAGACTTTTAATGAAAAATTGTATACTTATTAACCAGTTGTCTTTTTGAATTTTTATACTGAGTATTTATGACTAATAGAACGAAACTTTCCTTAATGTTTTTTCCTTTTCTATGTTTTGTACTGAAGTCTGCAATATTTTTATGAAAAACTCTACTAACCAGGTGTTTCTTGCAATTTATGTACAGGATGTTCCATAAAACTGACACAGGTGTACCAGATTTTCCCTTATTCATTTTGTTAATCTTTTGAAGAAAAGTCGCTTTTTTAAAAATCCATATGTGTTCTATAGAATTAAGGGCAGTTTTATTTCTTTTCACTTTTAGTTTTGTCTATTTACTACAGTCTTTTAATGAAAATTTGTATATCAAGCAGATGTCTTAATTTATTTTTTTACCATTTCTGCCTTACCTACGTAGTCTTTCGATGAAAAATTTTATATTTACTAACCAGATGCCTTTTTGGGAGTTTGGAACAAAATTTTCTTATTCTTTTATCGAACGGGGCCTACTCTTTTTTGAAAAAACATTCTCCTCATATTTTTATATACAGGGTGTTTAAAAATCAAAGTACAGGGTGTTTCAAAGAATATTATATCTACTAACCAGCGAGGAAAGCACCGCGGAGCGAGAAGAAAGGTCAAACTCCGCGTCAGCGGAGTTTGCCTGCCTTTCTAGTCAATATATATTAAAATCTGATAGCTCCGTCTGCGTCGCACGATCGCCCCGAAAAAGGGCCGACTGGATGGCAAAGGCTTCGCTCCTGGATCGCGCAGCGATCCCCCGCGAAGCCTGGAGGGCTTCGCCTTCCTAGCTACGTCGCGCCGTCGTATTTACAACACGGCCCCTCGACATCTTCAAGGCGATTTTTCCCGTTTTCCGGAGGCCTACGGGGGGCGTGGCCCAATTTTTGTCTGACGGTCGCCGATCGCCTGGAATCGCGCGCAGTTACGGCTTTTTAATTTTTTATTTCCCCCATTTTCTACGATATTTCATTTAAAACTGTGCCGAAAATACTCATATTTATCGACCGGGTGCCTATTTCACGCTTTTTCCGTAGAACTTNAAGCCTGGAGGGCTTCGCCTTCCTAGCTACGTCGCGCCGTCGTATTTACAACACGGCCCCTCGACATCTTCAAGGCGATTTTTCCCGTTTTCCGGAGGCCTACGGGGGGCGTGGCCCAATTTTTGTCTGACGGTCGCCGATCGCCTGGAATCGCGCGCAGTTACGGCTTTTTAATTTTTTATTTCCCCCATTTTCTACGATATTTCATTTAAAACTGTGCCGAAAATACTCATATTTATCGACCGGGTGCCTATTTCACGCTTTTTCCGTAGAACTTCCCGTGAAATCAAATGCGGGATT